TAGTAGCCCAAGAGTTGGCGGGGGGTGGTGATGACTAGCTGCCTTCCCTCTAGTCTTACACTGCTAAATTAGAGACGGCTAGCGCAGATAGCCCTCGTGTAGCCTTGCGCGATATTCAAAAACAAACCTGATTCTGCGTTTTGCAGATAACTTTAAGCTTATATGTCTGACACCTGTGTACCTAAATAACATAGTAGAAAATGTTTCTCAGAACCTTCTTTTCAGACAGTATACCTTGAATTTGGGATTTTGTAGAACGTACTGTTACAATTTCTATTTTTCATTCAGGGAGTTCAAGAAATATTTATTGTTGTTTAACCAGAAGGAAGTTTAACATAATGTGATATGTAGAACTTTCTCCAAAGTTTAGGCAATATGAGAAGCCAGTAGATTAGAGTTACTAAATGAGTCTTTTAGAGTGAGTACTATTGAGTTTGCTAGTCAGTTAATGGGTTTTAACGCATAATTTAGTCAGTTTTGTATATAAGTGTCGGAAGTTAGAATGAGTTAATTCACGCTTTGAATATTGAGTCTCTGGTTCGACGATAAAATAGATATACGAAATTATCAAGTGTTTGTTTGTTGTTAAGCTGAAAGCCACACAATAGGCTTGTTGTGCTCTGCCCAACACGAGTACTGAAACCCGATTTTTAGCATTATAAGCCTTCAGACTCACCGCTGAGCCACTAGGGAGCATCAGCAAGTGAGTGGAACTGTTTAGATGTAAATCTTGAAGTTCAAGAAACAAAATGTATTTTTTATTGTTGTTGTTAACGTTATATGGGCTGAACTTTGTATTATTATTTTTACCGAATAATCCAAAAGAGCCCGACCAACAACAGAAACGATCACATACAATACATTGTTGTTATAGCTATTGTGTTACCATTCAGCTTTTCTTGTCTGGTACCAGGCTAACAGGGCCGTCCAACTAAACTCACATTCGAAGTGCGATAACTGGTTTTATAAAGTCTCAGTATTAGCTGAGTCACTTCTGCCTTCTGGCTAGACTTCACCCTTTATAGCCAGACCTTAAATTTCCGGAACATCAAGCTTGTTTTTCGCATAGTACGAAATATTTCACGCGCGTAAGAAAGCACAGTATAAAGTCCGTTTTACGTTTTATCAAGTTGTAACGTAAGTAAAAAAAAAAACTATGTTATTGATTGTCTCTAATTGTTAATCACATCTTTGGTAATAAAGGAAAGGTTATTTTAAAGCTTTAACAAATTAATCGAAATATAAATTTATGCTTAACTGTTAAACTTTGGAACTGACGCTTAGAGATTTTCTCAAGTCACTGATTTAAATGGAAAAATCCAGAAGAAGAAGAAGAAGAAGAAAAAAACATTTTAAAGGCAAACAAAAACATAAAAAGTAAACCATTTCTATAATAACTTGCAGTATTATTCAAAATATTCTGTTAGTATGTTCGGTTATATATGTGCAAGAAATTAATTTATTCTTTTCTAATATTTTCTCAGGTTAAGCTAAAACTGAAAGATACTATTATCAATTAATTCATCAATACAATACCATTCTCAGCAGACCAACAGTTGATACAATATCAACAAAATAAATTATAGAAACAATTTTAAGCACAGTGTAATATAGGTTTAACGATTTTCCAAGATTATTTAAACACAAATGCGATTATTTGTCTAATTTCTGCGAAAAGGGGCCGAATGCCACCTGAAAGGGTCACTTGTTTAACCACTTGCACCACTATACAGTTAGTTCAGTCGACATTAAAATTACGTCACATAAGGGACGCTTAACGTTGCAATTTGTACTTTCGTGACGTCACGATAAGAATTATGCATTCTTTAGGCTACAATACATAATGACATATGAACTTCAAAAGCAAGAAATAAAGATATTTGTTACTGTTAATTTTGGTTTTATTTACTCTTGAAACAACATTTTCGAAGACCGTGCGAAAGTACACATCATTAACTTCCAAATTTTTTGAAATACTACTAATTATTAAATTTAGTAAACATAGCCACTCAATCATAACATTAAAATAATTATCACCAATTTTTTCTTTTAAAGTGTTATTACCAAATGTTTTCCACATGTTACTAATCACCAAAATTCTTCATTTATTAAACATATTTCTAATACCAAATTTGTGAAACATATTAAGAAATTTGTTATACGTATTGTTAATTACTTTTCATTAATTACCTGTCATTAATTACAAAGTTTGCTTAACCGTTATGAAAACGACACATGAAGCAAAATTCAACGCATCGAAGTTACTGAGGTAAAGTTAGGCATGAGGAAGATTATTTTAACTGACAAAATATTTATAAAGGTGCGATCATAACATGACAGTGGCTTAACAAAACTGACCAGGAAAACAATGCCCGAAACAAAATCTCGACTTACCTATTTTGGCTAAGCCAGCGATGAAAATCCATAAGGAGATTATAAACGGAGTTGAAACGTGAGGAAAGTCAACTTTTGCCACTTGGTAACGCTGACTGTGTCCATCGTGTTGGTTTTTATTTGGTAGTTCGTTTTCATGTCGGGTCGGGCCGGAATGATGCACTGGAATAACTACAGGTTCGTTTGAGGCCGGATGAGCATCGGGATTGGGAGGCACAGCTTCATGATGCTCAAGAGACACACTGTCAACTATGTTGACTCGCGCCTCGTCCCCTAGAATTTGGACACACCAATACCCTAGTAGCGTCAAGACGAGTAAAAGTATACGTTTAACCAACATATCAGTCTGGTGTCGTTTTTAAGATACTCTCCAAATATCTGTATAAAGCAATATATATATATGTATATATATATGTGCCTATTCTTCAGATAATGAGACTTACTGCATGTCTATACGGAATGAAACAATGCTATGTTCATCTTATACATCTAACCCCAACACTTTCTCTCCACGCCACGCAGTCAACTCTAATGCACGTGGAAGTCAGTTTTGATGTGGGCTGTTTCTTTGCATGGTATTGTGACTGGTCCAGCAAGATACGTCACGTGAAGGTCCACTAATCACGAAAAGATACACGTAATCACGTGAGATTGTATTGAAGTGAGAAAGAGCCTGAAATTGGAGTAGGACGTTAAAGAATTTGACTGAGACAAGAAGTAGTGCTAGTTTGACAGCTGCTTTTATATTAAAAAATTACTGTTTAAACGTCCATTTTATGTAGGTCAGTAAATAAATTTCTGTGATCAGGTGTTCACGTTTTTTATTTCTTGTTTTTTAAACTCATATCCACATTAACTTTGTACCAAAATCCTGTCAGAACATTGAGCATGATTAACTCTACAGATAATATCCGAAGTGTGCGGGCTTTTGCTACTTTATGTATGTATGTAAAGAAAAAAAGAATAAATCTTGATGCATGCAGATATCATTAGGCACAACGCCCAGTTACAGATCCTGCAGGGTTTATCTCACCTGAAACCCTTCCGTTCCTTTTCTTTGCAGTAGTGATCTGGGTTCAATAAAGGTTGCAGTTCGTTCTGTTGCCTATACAAAGAAAATGTTTGGCTGCTCTATATTAGCACTATTGTTGTTTGTTCACATAAAACTGAGTTCATTGGAAAGTCTAAACAATGAAATACCTGTTATCGTGTACAAGTACCACATCCTTGCAGAAAACGCAGATATTTTTCAGAAACAAAAAGGTTAAACTGTAATTGTTCTCTCTCTCACACACACACATACACTCTTTATTATATATTATGAAATGTACGTTTGGTATATTTATTTTTCTAAGCCAGAAAATATTTATTAAAAACTAATTAAGTTATTTAAAAGGGTTAATACAAACTAGCATTTCAAATTTAATTCATGCAGTAACCACGGTTGCCTCAGTAACGTAATAATTTCAGATCAAGCTGATTTCCCAACAAGTTTTTCCCCTATGGAAATACCCGCGAATAACTGTAGGTTCAGCCCAGTGGTTTAAATGAACTTCCGAAATGAGAGTATTCGGAGTTAGTGTGGAAATAGTGGAAATAAGAGAGTCTGGACACTTTACATAAAATACAAAAAATCTTTATTTATTACAACATAAAAACATTGAAAACTTAGCCCACAACCATACGCAATTACGAACATTACTCACTCCAAGTTATGCGACCATTAGTCTTAAATTTTCGTTCCCTAGAGATGGATTATCTTACACTAAAAATGCTTAACTAACTTCTAAAGGTCTTCTTTCTGTAAAACTGGGAGCAAACTGATACAAAGAAAGCGCCTGGATTTCAAAAATCAGCTTGCTTTCTTTGTCCAACGGACAGCGTCAATTCGTGACCTCTGTTTCCTAACAGAATTGGTCAGCTATCAGGTTCAGGTGACGCCATTCTTCGGCCAGCAATGGATATTATAGTTCTAAGTAGTTATAATCCAGTTATAATGTGCTGAAATATCCTTACCGGCATGTAACAAAAGAACAAGGGGTTGAAGTGGCTAAAATAAGATAATATTAAACATCTTGGACCACGTGTTACCGCCATGACAGTGCGAAAGCAAAATAATCAATAGTTAACAAAATAGTATATCACTATAAATGGTAGGAGAACATGATACGTTTACAAACCAGAATGATAAGTCGAGATCTGGTCGCTTAATCCTTTTTTTAACGAATTTTAGAATATATTCATATATTTAATCAAACGTTTATAAATGATGTTAAATGTTTCTAATAATCAAATATTTCATTCTATGAAGTTTTTAATATCATCCACTTACTATAACACTGTATTTTCATTTCCACGACGATAAAAGCAACGACAAGTTGTTAATTAGCTGCAGAACTCTTTTAAAGTATTCATATACCTTGGTTAGATTGCCTATATTGCATTTAATGTATCAGAAAAATATTAGATAGTCAAATTTTGAACTTTATTCATTGCATATGATACTTTGATTTTAAAATATGCGCATATAGGTCAAACTGCCACTTCTACCCAGTAATTCAGGTTTAGTCATTCTTAACTTTGAATTGTTGACCAAAGCAGTCAACCAGAAAGTGGGTTTTGAAGAGCGAACTAAATCCCTAACCTGACACGCCAATCTTTAGGTCAAGCATGACCCCGATTTTTAAATAGACAGATTCAATTAAGCATAAAAAGAATTACTGGTATGTTAAGTCAATGAATGAATATCAACTCTGATTTGGTTACTATCAAACTAATTAAATCAAAATCTATAGTAATTTACGCTGTGTGTTTTTACATTTGTTTGTTCCCCCCCCCGCAAATCCCTCCCACAGTTTTAGAGCTATCAGAGCCCAAACTTAACAGGCGGACTCGAGGTGGTTTGTGGGTTTCCTTATCTATATTGCGTTTATCCCCTAACAAGGGGTTATCAATGGGACTAAAGACTGCCTGAAAGGTCAGCCAGACAAAATATGCTTTAGAAGTAGGTGTTCAGGATCGCTGCACCATATATGGCATTGGACTTTGTGTTCTTACCCCCCTCCACGATCTCGAGGGCACCATATTTTAAACTGTGTTCACATCTCTTCTCACAAACTAGCGAGACATAAAAAAACTTAGTAATTAAAAATAAAATAACAGGAATTGTTAGCACAACACACAAAAACCCTTTAAAAGTGATCAACAAGTTAATTTTCAGCAAGACTCACATTGATGCCATGCTGCACCTTTATGTGAAAAGGGCAACGCAGCACAAAAGTCCTTTTAATAAAGAGAAGATAAAATCATATTAAAACTAAAAACTCGATTCATTACCACAAAGAAAACTTTAAATCCCTGCACATTCACATTTGCTCACATGCATGAAAGATCAACAATATTGTCATGAAAACATAACATATATATATATAATGCACATTTACCTCCAGAGACCATTCTAGGTAGGCATCACTTTCTCTCACCGCAACTGTGGCAGTATAATTTCCAGCATTAACCTTCTCTTCTAGTTAGAAGAAGTTGATACCTTGAGGTCTGTATGGCCCCTTGCCAAGTTTTGTTTGGCTTTAGCTAGCCTGTTCTGCAAGTGTCAAATGACCTTGTTATATCTAGATGGAGAAGTAGGCATGCAATTTAGACAATCCTCCTCATGAGATTAGAGGACCCAGGTCTCCATCCACTCAGCTGTCATCTGTTGGCAATGCCATTTGAGCAATGGAATCTGCTGTATTGTGGGTCAGTTCATAATAATCTTCAGTGGCTTAGACTGGTGGCCTACTCTTGTTGCTTCTGAGGTTCTCCAGTGCTTTCTTAGTAAGTATGGTGACATAAAATCTCGTTGGTCATTGACTGTGAAAACTGCTGAATGAGCCACTACTGCCTTCATCACTTGGTTCTTCCTTGTCTCAAGATTTTTGGAAGCTTCTCTGATGTCCACCCTGCCTTTGTCCACTCAAGGCTGAGACATCCCTTGGGATGCACATAGTGCTGAGAAGCTCTTCTCTGGCTTTGAGATGCAATAATCCAATTGGAGATAGAAATACATTTGTCTTTTACCTTTTGTTAATGTTCCCTGCAAAGGGAGAAGTCACTGAGTCTCTATTAATCTTGGTTTTCATCTCCATATGCAGTGTCAGCAGTGATACAAGTCCATGCTGTTGGGCTGCTTGAAAGCATAATTCTCCCAGAGTTGATGGCACTGAAGTCGAAAGTCTGAGGCTGAAGGTGCCCCTCAACCTCCCAGTGGTATCAGGGCTTTCATCAGTCATCATATGAAGTTTGGCATGAAGAGATGTCAGCACTGACTTATTCACTGAATTGGCAAGCCCTCTCAAGTTGGACGCATTAATTAGCAACATGTCTTCATCCATGGGCTCGTTCACAATGAGTACTAGACTGACATCCTCAGTATCTGTGGTGACTTCCTGCCCCTCGATGTATAAGAGGTCTTGGGCATCGTGGAGCAGTAAGGAAGCTTCAAGGTCAAAACAGGATTCCATCTTGGCATTGTTTAAGGTAACTATACAATTGAACAGAAACATTAGTTCACACACGGCAAAACAGGAGCAGCTCAGAAACTCTGATCTAAGTTATTCAAGGAGAGAGAATGTCTAAGGCTATAATTTGATATTAACTACCAAAACTCTAAATTCAAATGTATAGGATGAATGAATGCTAATTGGTCAATTGGGAGGCCAAGGACAAAGTTTTGACTATCAGCAAGCAACAAGAGCAAGCAGCAACTTTCAGCTACAGTGATTCCTCGTCTGACTCCTTGAAAATCAACAGATAGATATCGACCACTTCCTCTTCACTGGTGAGCGATTTGCAATGATTCAAGGCAGCATCCTAGTCCTCTTCTACTCACCAGTGACTCGGTCAGGACAGTGCACTAAGGGCTTGCTTGGACACAGCTTATCAATGTGTTTTATGTCATTTTGCACACCTTGTGCCCACTGTATCTCATATGTTATTCAATCAGAGTACTAATACCAGTCCAGCCCATACAAGTTCCACAGGTTATATGCATCAATGGTATGCTCCTTACTAGTGTTTGGCTGGCTTGTTCCTGCTGAGTTGCAAGGAGCATCCATGCTAAATCAGGATCTTCCAGTTGCTCATCCTGGAGCTACTGAAGTGTTAACTTCAGCATCCATTCTTCAATGGATTCATTTATGTTATGGCTTGTTGTTGTTATGGCTGATACAGTTTCAGGATTGGGGAATTCCACAAATGGACACGATCTCACCATCTGGTAAGGCAGTCAGTCCACATTTCTGTGTTGGAGGCTCGGGCAATGAACTATGGAAGACAAGGTCATGT